ACATGGGGAGCATGTGCTCCAAAACTAGCATGATTAAAAAGTGAGGTTAGTCCATTTTTAGAAAATAATATTGAAATATATTATAAGAATTTTATCGTGTTAAATTAATATTGTGTCAATGATATAATAGTTTTTTAGAGTATAATCATTGTGTATTTGGTAATGCAACGCACTAGTATTTTTTCAATTAAAATAATATTTTTTATATTTCTAATATTAATACATTAAAATAAAAAATACATCTAAAAAAATCAATTTAATATTTTTTTAAATAAAAAATAATTTGAAAAATAAGTTAAACGAATTAATCTCTAGGAAGATATTCCAACGGTTAAGATTTCAAAATTTCATAGGAAGTCTCATATTCAAATCCTACAAGAAGCAACATATAAATCAGGGGTGTAAGGGGGGTTATTTCTTTACACGGTTCATGATTCGCTGAACCGTTTTTAATTTAAATGGAAAACAAATTGAAGCTCACCAATAACAGGAATCTTCTTCTTGAATAGCTCGCGTATGAATCCGAGACTGTCCACATTGTTTGTCACGTTAACACTAGCCATGACAAGCTTGAATTTGTCCTTTCCTTCTCGGATCATCGACAAAGCAGCAGATGCTAGTCTAGTGGTGGTACCTGGGGGGAAAAAAAGACAAGTAAATAAATAGTTGCAAGCCTTTATTTATTCTGGTTAAATGGGGAGATTAATCAGTCAAAAGCAATTATCAACACATATTTTCATAAATATCGTGCTATATGCATTATTGCAGACTGCTGGGAAAATGGAGGATCCCGCTTTCTCAATGGTGCGTGCAACCATAGCAATGCAGTCAAAAGGAAATACTGAAAATAGGAGATCTCTTTGCACTTTCTTTCTTTCTTTGAAATTAAAACAGTACTGGGATGCAAGGTTGTTGATTAGGAATATACATATAAAAAACGGGTATTAAACAAATTAAAATCCAGCTTAATCATGATCATCTCTCTCAATGGCAAGCATTCCTTTGCAATGTTGAACGCCCATCCTAGTTTTCACATTAGAATAGTGAAAGCCACTAATTAGGTTTCAATTGAAATGACCCCACCAACCAAAAAAGAAAGAAAAAAGAAAAAAAAGAAGAAGCAACTTTTACAAAACACTTATTAAGTTGAAACTTAAATTTTATATATACCATCGACTTCAAGTTTTTTCCTCTGGATTAGAGGAGGAATGAAGATGCTTTAAAACACTGAATAGCTTGAGTATTCATTTATAATAATATATTTAAAAAAATTATATTTTTTTAATAAAAAAATTATTTAACCTGCAGTTAAAACATGAATCAGTAAAACAGTAAGCAAATTATTTTAAATCCACAGCTAAACTTTTTCTAATTTTGATTTTTTTTCTCTCCAAATTTTGTGCTAGAAAGTCTCGATTGATCGTAGATCTATAGGTAAATTAAGGTTTTGAGTTTAATCTTTGGCAAATATTGAAATTAAAGTTTTGAGATCAGACATTCCAATTCCCACGTGTAGGTTCTGTGTTAACGATAATTTAAACGTGGGCATGCCCTCTCAAGAATTCAATACCTAAAGTTTTGATACATACACGAAGGATATTTTTAATGGTAGATAATATATATTAGTATACAAATATCAAAGTTTTAATATATAAATAGCACCACTGATAACATTACTATCTTTTTTTTTAGAAGAATTAAATAAAAAGGAATGTATGGCTATTTTAAATATTAGCATGCATTCCTTCTACTCTTGTATGTGTATTGCTCAAGCAATGATGCAAGGTACATGAGGGATGCTGTATCATCATCCACCAACAAAATGCTGAGCCCTCGAGCGAAATTAGGAATGCAGCTGCTCGGTAATCCCACCACTTCCGTTTCAGTGGAAAAGAAACAAAAATAAAATAAAGATCTAAACTAATTAGAAATCAACAAAAATGAAATGAAGAACAGTATATATATAACCAACAAGAAGAGAAAGAAAATTGCCGCTGAGAAAAGGAAACAGTTATCCTTTTCTTCTTTTAATTACTTCCTCTTCTTCTTCTTTTCACCTCCAGCAAAGAGGACTACCGTAGTTTTGATAACTCAGCAGAGAACAGAAGAGATCAGGATGGAGGGAGGAAGTATAGATGAGGGTGAAGCTAAAGAAGCTCCAACCAGATGGCCATACTGAGAGAAATTGAGAGAGAGAGAGAGATTTAAATGGAGGAAGCGATTGGTCTGTGGGGCTACCTCTCTAAGTAGCCAATGATCACCCTCCACTTACCAAAAAAAACCCCAGTGTCCTTGGAAGATAAAAAACAGTCAACAGTCTTTTGTTTGACTGTGGTAATTACATGCCCATGTATTTGAAGATTTTCTATGGCAATGGACTCCTTTTCTTTCATGAGGCCTTGCCTTTTTTGACTCCTTAATTACTTGTTCCCCTTCTCTCTCTTTCTTTTCCCCTCTGTTTTTTTTTTAAATTATTATTTTAAATTATTATTAATTTTATCAGACGACGAGGGTTGTTCCATGTTCTCAAATTAAAAATTACAGGATTTATCCTGAATTTAAGAATGGTTGTCACATGTCATGGTAAGCGTTCATGGCAAGTTCCGTAACTGGTTCAATTGGTTTGCTTAACGGTAAAATATTTCAACTTAATTTATCATTTTTCATTTGGGATTCCTCAATGATGATAAAATTCTCGAGAATTTTAACCAAAATCACATCCCTTAAACTTCATCTAAAATTTCTCCACGCCTACATGAAAAATCTGAAACCGAATCAAGAAATCTTTAAGATGGATGTGAAGGTATTTCTTCACGTTCCCTTCCCACCGTAACTCGGTCTCTTGAGATAACTCGATCTTCTGAGGGGGAGCCACTTGATGAAACAAAGCCAACACGAGAAGTCACTTCTACTTTCATTGGTATTTTAAGCATTATATTAAAAAAAAAAAAAACAGAAGAGAAGGTGGTATTACGTATTCCTACTTATAGAATACTATTTATTATAATAGTATTTTGTTTTAGTCTTCTTTTTTTTTAATTTTAATTATATATTTTAATATTACATTTACAAGAAATTGAGTTTTTTTAATTTAATTTTTATGAGATTATATCAATATTATAACCTGAATGAAAATTTGACCAGTTATTGATTAAGAATTAGATCTCGTGATTTGTTTCAATCTATTTTCTATAAGGTTATTCTCATTTTATGACTCTTATTACTGGTTTGACTAGCTAACCTAAACTGATTTAAGTTGTTTTTATTTTTTTTAATTAAAATTTTTTCAATTTCATATTTCAACACCGAGTTGATTAAGAATTAAATTTTATAATTTATTTTATTTATTTTCTATTGGGTTATTCCAATATCATGACCTAAATCGCAAGTTTGACATATTAAACCGAGTTAACTCAAATTATTTTTTATATTTTTTAATTTTATTCCTTAATATTAATTTTATTTTGAGTCAAACTATATATTTATTAATTATTTGAATTATTTTTGGACCCATTAAATTGAACAGGTCATATTGAATTAATACCCATATAATTTTAAAAAAATTCTACTAGAAATAATATTAACAATATCTAAATATTTTTTTTTTACATAAAAAAATATTTGACTCACAGTATCAAATATCAAATTCTAGACTCAAAGAAACTATAATCCTAGAATCTTGGTTTGCCAAAGCTTTATTAGGTCATCTAGTTTGAATATTTTTATAAACCGAATGTTTAGTTTTCATGTAAAAAAAACTTCCTTTAGCATCGCAAGCTGTTCTATTTTCAAACCTAATGTAGCCATTACATAACATTTACTTACTGTTTTAAAATATAAATGATAAAGATAGTGAGAACATAAGAGATAATATAAAAAAAATACAAAGAAAAAATTATATTGATAATAATATATAAAATAAAGTGATTATCTCTATATTTTATTTAATCAATAATAAAAAAATATATAAAAATTATTTTACTTTATTTATGAATTATTGGAAACTTTTATATTTTTTAAAAAATAATTAGATTTAATTTTTTTAACTTTAATTTACATTAACTATCAAAGTTAATAATAATATATAATTCTAGTTTAAAAACCTCAATCAAAATGGTGGAATGCCTTAAGATACAAAAAACTCATATCTGGATCAATCCCAATATTTTAAAAAAATAAAGGAGAAATTAATAAAAAATTTATTGATTTATTTAAAAAATAATTAAAACTATTTCAGATAAAAAAATTTATTGATTTATTTAAAAAATAATTAAAATAATATTTTTTTAATATCTATTTTTTTTAAAAAAATCAAGATTGATTCTCATGACTTAGTGACCGAGACTTTATTTTATATTAATATCTAAATTGAATTTAAAACTATAATAATAATTATTTTTATTTTTATATGTCTTAGTTTGACAAATTTAAAATTAAAAGTTTTTTACATAAATAGTTTAGAAGTAAAAAATAATAAGTATTGTCTCTAAAAACATATCATCTCTATAATTTATATTTTAAAAATATAAAAATTTACTTCATAATTATTTAAAATATATTTATTTTTATATTTTTATCTTAATTTTTTAAATCAAACACATTTTTATCTCCTCTTTTACCTTTTAATATTATAAAAATAACCACACTCTATCTTGTACTTTTAAGGGGAAAAAAAGAAAAAAGAAAAAAGAAAAAAGAAAAAAGAAAAGACTATCAGCAACATTGGAAATCATTTTTTATTTTCATCGAAAGGAGATGTATAAAGTTGACAATAAGAAAAATAGCAGAAAAATATTCTTAATTCAAAACAAAAGTAAAGGTGCGTGCATAAAGCAATTATGCTACGGAACGGATAATGAGCTCTGTTAATGTTGAATGAATACAAATAGGCCAGTCCAATTCTGTTGAGTGGAGCCCATTAAGATTGCAAGCAGCCCGAATTAAATTGACCAAACCCAGCCCAAAGTTTATCCAGTAAACCGCCTAAGCACGCGGCTGTCACCAAGTCAAATTTCCGTGTCCATCCATCCTCATCATTGTCACTCCCTGTAAAACCACTCAAATCAAACCAAAACTAGAATCCTAACTTGGCCGTTGGGCAGGAAAGAGCTTTTTGATTTTGAGTATTACTACCTATGGCACGTCTCTGTCGTTCCAAATTCTGATTTTAAAGCTTAAACGAATAGCTAGGGTTTCTTTAGCTCTAATAATTTTTCATTTGTTTGAAATTGCAGGCTGATTCCGTTGAAGATCTTGATTCTCTATTTGATTACCGTCGCGTGCAGCCTATCGCAATCCTTGATGGTTTCTTCTAAATACTCTCTACCTTCGTTTCTTTCTTTAATTCCCTATTTGGTTGATTAATGGTAGAAAGAAAGCTGAATTTGGCTTGGGTTTTTCTATGGCAGAGGACGACGACGACGACGAATATGATAAGCCACCAGTTCCTTCTCCTAAAAAAAGGAAGATTTCCAATCATAACGTGGAGGTTTTTTTCCTTCTCATCTCTTCTTTTTCGACATTGTCAGTTATGTGTGTTTTGATTAGAGAAATTGAGTGAAGATGGTGTGCCTTTCTATTCTTTATATATATATATATTAGATTGTTGGCGGTGATCGTGAAGCAAGCCAAGTGACTAATGACGATGAGGATTGGCTACTTCCTCCTCCTAAGGACTCCAGTGAGTCCCCGAAGCAGATTGATGAGGACTCAACTATTAAAGAGCTGAGGTATGAGTTTCATTGTTTATTTAAAGAGTTTGATTTGTTTGTTTAATTTTAAATGTTAAATATATTTCCTTGTTGATTTATAATCTTTCCCGTGTTTGATTTCTGCCCTCACAAATGCCACTGTAACTTGTAAAGCGTGTTAAATAGATCTTTCTGTTTTAAATAATTTCATGTTTAAGAGTTGTGTGTTCTGGTTCATGATTGTTTGTTGTTAACTATTAAAGGGAAACAAAAATTGCTGAACAATTTATGACAACTCTAGATCATTTAGAGATTAGATCTGTAGAGGCATTTAGTGGCGCTGAGTTAGGGAGAGCTCACTTTAATTGATTGGTGATTGGTGAACACACACATAACATACACACGGGTGCATGATAAGCATGCTGTGAATGCTACTTTGATACCAAGGTTTAGTTCTCAGTGTTTTCTGGTGGCAATGTTATTTCTATCTTCTGAGAGCATGCTGCACTTAGATTTACTTAAATTTGCATTCACAAGGTATGTGCAATTGACTTTTATGGCATTGTGAGAGAATGCCAAAGAGAATACATTTGCAATGACAGATCACTATTATGAAATTGAGAAAATCGAATCTTGCCTGTTCTTGACTTTTTTATGGTTCGTTAATTTTCAATTTAGTCTGTGTAGTTAATTAAGATTTACTACATGAGAAATTAATGATAGAAATTATTTTTTTATAGCAATTGCAACTTCTATTGGCATTAAATTTAATCCCTTTGTTCAATCTATTGGCATGCCATACTATCGTTTATATTAGTTCTGAACTGAGCGTGATCATGTCCTTGATGGAGATGTGCAACAGCATTTTTTTTCATTTATCTGGGTTTGGCCATTTAGTTCATTTCATTCGTTGCTCATGGTTTTTCAGATGAAACTCAATATTTCAATTTTCTAATGTTTAAAACCAAGACAACCAAAATTCATATAAAAAGAAGAAAATAACCAAACTGAACAATTTTTTTTTTTTGTTCTTTTTGGTATCTAACATGATTTCCTGGAATGGTGATGACTAATAATAATTCAAATATAATCTCAGGTCTGCAACAGCAACCTTTACCAACAACTAAAATTGAGCTTCTCTTCTCACAGCTTGTAATAGCGCAAATTTTAGGTTAGAGAACCAAGTATTCAATTCTCTCTATTTGTTCTAGTGACATGGACCTTGTTCATAAGGGTGGGAAAACAAGGAAGATTTTGAAAAACTTACTGTTAGAAAAGGCAATCAATTTTAGCCATTAGCGATGCCAGTTATTAGGCCTCTGATTTCATGTGGAAAAAAAGGCCACTGGTATAGCGGCAGCCCAATTTTGGTGATGCCCTGTTAAACACTTTTGGCTTCCTTTGAGTTCATATTTTTCATGCACTCCCACTACATTATTGATCTCCAACAACTCACATGAAAGCCATCTTTAAATTTTCAGACCATTGTACCATGTACTCATCCTGAGCAATTTGAAACTTCCTCTATTTATTTACACATCACAATTTCAAACTTATTTGTAATGGAATAAGATTTTCATGTATCCTGTCATCTTTTTGTCTTTTTTTTTATGTAACTACAATATTTGAAATCACGCATTCACTGGTCTTTAAATTATTGCAATGGCTGTTATTTCAAGCTTATCACCTGTTCTTTTATGGAAAGCCCACTCCACAGACAAGTTTTTGCCCTTCCTCTTTTCTTTCATTCTTTTCAAAATTTTACATTTTTCTTAGCTCCCTTATTGGCACCCACCTCACTTTTCCACCAAATTTGTTGATTTTTATAATTTCACATAGATCAAGATTGATGCTTGAAATATTTACTTCAAAAGCTAATATCAAGGCAGTTGTTTTGTGAAGATTTGAGGTGAATATCTCCTTTTTTTTCTTTTTTACTATTATGAAATTTAAGCAATACTCAAATTAAGCTTCCTCCTACTCATGGCTGTATAATCTCCTCAGTTGATAACTTGATAAGTTGTGAAAGTTTTTTGTTAACATCTAGTGTTCCCATTTTATATGAACCTTTGGTTTAGAATTTATTTCAACCACACATGTAGGTTAAGGAAGCAGGAACTAAAAGCTTTGACAAGTAAAGAGTGTTTGTTTCAATATCTGGAGTCACCAAAAAGACAAAGTGATTCAGTGCAGGCTGATCTGGAGTCTGGGGCCGAGCAACCATCAAAGTCTGATCATGAAAGAGCTAAAATAGTTATTTCAATTCAAGACAAGGATGAAGTCAAACAATTTCGTGTGTACAAGGTATATATATCTAAAGTTTGAGCTTTGTTTATAAAACTGATTGTTTCATGTAGCCACGATAAAATTATTCATGCAAACCCCAGAATAAAATGGAGAGTGCATGATAAGATTATTAACTTATCTAAATTTGATGGTAGGAAATAACAGAAAAAAAAAACATTTATGGACATCCCCTTGTGGGAAGTTGTCAAGTGACATCTACAGTGCATGACACCTGGAAGATTTAAAGGCAAATATGCAACTAGAGTTTCCATGAACCTCAAAAGAAAACCAGTGATGAACAGCAGTGTCAATGTCGAGGTGAAACATAAGATGCTAGTGTTGGAAGGGGTAAACTTTGTAGTGTATTAGCATTTTCTATTAGTGCCTTGCTTGCTGAGTCTTACATGTACAAAATCATCTTTGCTCTTGGATATTCCTCTGCCCCGTTTCTAATGAATGACATTGAATTTCTTTTGTAGCTTGAAGCTTGGGTTAGGATATTGTCATCTCAAACACATTTCTCATGCAAAGACCTTCAATTTTAATTAAGGTTTTCAACAGATCATTTGGAAAGTCATCACTGGTCATTTTACATAGACTTTGTTTTGTGTAAGATGCTGGCCTCAATTATTCATTAATTTAGGAGTGCACCTGCCCTTGTTGATGAAGTCATCGTAATTATCATTCTGGATATTTTAACAAAATCCTTTTCTATGTGTCCTTTGTTATGTATGCTTTTTGTATGTTACAAGTGGTGAAACATGTATAATCAATGGTATAAACTACGCTTGAAGTTCACTATTTTGACAGGATGAAAAGTTCGAGCGGCTCTTCAAACGGTATGCTGATAAAGTTAAGCTCGGAATTGAGAGCCTAGTTTTTATGTTTGATGGGGACAAAATCAATCTGACGGCCACCCCTGATAGTCTTGGAATGGACGATGAGGACATTATTGAAGTGCTTGCCAAGAAAAGCTGACTAACATGCCTCCTTATGAAATTTTGATATGTAATTGTGAGTTATCAATACTTTTGTTTGGGTTAAAGCATGGAATTTTTACGTTTGTGAATACCAAAACACTTATTTTTGGGGTTTGTTGGGATGATACAGCAAACTCTACTGTATGCTTGTATTAAAATTGATTAGAACTATTAGAGAGAAAATTGGTGTTTCTAATAGTAGCGAGGCTTGTAACTGCTACAATCGAGCTTGTAAATGACTGGCTAGATTGAGTTTGTAGATGTTCAATGAATGAATGATTGCTTTCCTATGCTCTCTCTCTCTCTCTCTCTCTCTCTTAGAATATGGTGCTTTCCTTGCCTGCAGCATATCCTTGCTTTGTCTGTGCACTATATTGCAGCTTATTGTTTCTTCGCTTTAACAGCTCAATTGTTCAGAATTCTTGCTATAAAATGTTTCGAAGGTTCAGTTTGTTTACGGTGGTTGACTGTGTTATTGGTAAGAAGCCATAAAAGAATTTTTTTTTCTAGTTTTGATTATACATCGTTTTATTTTTTATTTTTTATATATCATTCCTTTTCTAAAAAAATAAAATAAAAAGTTTAGTGTGAAAGGCATCCATAATTATTTCAGGTGTAAAATACGTGTAATTTAGTCCCAACTAATTTTTATAATTTTTTTTATAAACAAGTTATGTGCTAAACATATCTTGTTATAATTTTATTTTTTATTTAATGTTTAAATTAGTGTGTAATATATTTAAAATTAATATTTAAAAATGAAAAACCACATTCTGAAAAATCTATGTTCGTCCATCAAAAACCTGACCAAATACCCTCTTTGTTTTTTTTTTCCTTAAACTTTTGTTTAGCATTATGTCATAATAAGGCCATTTCTCTCTCTTTTTTTTTTTTTTCCTTCAACTTTTGTTTAGCATTATGTCATAATAATATATATTTTTTTAAAATAGTTTTAAATTATTTTGATATATTAATATTAAAAATAAATTTTTAAAAATATAAAAAAATATTTTAATATATTTTCAAAACAAAAAAAAAATAATCAAAAACCATCATCTACCACACCCTTAATTAACCAAATTGAATTTTATGCCTTTTCATTTTAACTGTAATCAAACAAAAACTGTATGCCTAATAAATTCAATAAAATTACCGTCTCCATTCACAATTCAGTGTTTGCGATTCTCTAACTGATTAAAAAAAAAATACAAGAGGGGGTGTTCACAAAATCTTTCATTTAATTTGGTAAGAGGAAACAGATGAATAAAACCAAATAAAGAGTTGGGTCAGATACAAGAGGGTGTTCATAAAATCTTTCATTTCATTTGGTAAAAGGAAACAGACGAATAAAACCAAATAAAGAGTTGGGTCAGGGGATAACGAAACCACGTGTCGATTTCCACGTCAGCAAAAAGTTCACCTCTCGTGCTTACACGTCAGCTGAAAAAGGCAACGAAGAACAATAGGGGAAAAGCGAGCTGGATTGGGCGAGACTAGTCTCCATTCTTCCAGAGAAACTAGCACGACAGAAAAGCCCCTCCTTCCTCCTATTTGCCCCCCTCTTATAAGCTTTGATCTTCACCTTTTGCTTGAATGCTGTTTACAGATAATCACCACAATAGCATAGAACTCGTGGTGCTTCCTTTTTCAGTAGTTAACAACATCAAAAAGGATGACTACATGTGACCAGAAAATGATCCTAGATTGCTGTTCGAAATTAACCCCTTGACTTTGTTGTTAATTAACTTTTGCAGTTGTGGTCTAAAAATATGCAAGACCTTGGGGTTTGTGAAGACATTGTTTTCCATGATGATTTTAACATACCGGATGTTGATAAAAGAATTTGCAACTTTGAAGAACTGTTTGGGGGCGATCTAGATCCAATCGGAGCATTTCCTGATGAGAATGATTTGCCATGCTCTTCTGTTGAGAAGGATATGTCTCTCGAGAAATCCAACAACAGAGATGGAAGAGCAGGTATGGTTTTGACACTTCGATTTATGAGAAGAAAATGCCAGTTGTCAAATACAAGTGCTCACTGTGGTTAACACAGTTGGGAAAGTAAACCATACAGAAAATATTTGTTGCGGAAATAAGAAGAATTTGCACACGATTATAACCGAATTACTGACATTTTCTTCAAAAGTGTGAGCAGTGTAGAGAGCAGATTCTAGCCTTTAGATTTCAGATAGTATCGTATATCTTTAAATTTCGGAGAAATAACAGTTCTAATGTCTTAAATCTTTATGCGAGTGAAGGGATCAATTCTGAAATATGTACATTGGAAGTCCCTAACGTTGAAGAGAAGAAAAGGGCTCGAATGTAAGTATATACACTTCTGTTTATTTTTAGAATGCTTCTGCCAGGATTTTATAACAAGTATAGTGGATTTTATTTCTGAGGATCCCAGTCAAAAAGTCCTGTTTCTTGGTTCATCAGCAACAATATCTTTTCCAGTTAGTCGTATATTTTTTATGGTCAATGACTTAATGTAACTTCTGGAGCATGGCCACCTTCATTAAACTAGAGAACAATGCTATCAAATTAGTATCAAGGTCTGAAGGTCATGAGTCAGAATGGTCCAAATGATCAAATTTTATTGCCACTACCAATATCAAATTGAAAAGGGCATAAGCAAGAGATCTAGTTCAGGGCACTAGGATACCCAGTGATTGCTTGCTAGCACTGAAGAAATGTTGCAAATGCCGAATTCCGCCCTTCTATTATCTTATTAATGATAATAATAGAAAAAAAAGGGGTACATCTATTAAGATTGAACTTAAGCCCTTTTTGTGTGGTGCTCGGATTCTTTGACATCTTTGGTGTTAATTTTATCTATTTATTTAGGTTATTTCTTGTATACATTGATTAACACCCCGGGAACAATCATTCATAAACACAGGAAAGCTCTTTGGACTGCCCTTTACTTTCCTCAAGATGAACATTAATTTCAAATGACAAATCAGTAAGGTGACCGTTGCTTTATATTGCTCAAGCACACTGAATCGGCGCTTTAGGCGTGTTTTAAATCATCCAGTCCGTGGGACAAAGATAATGGAGCCTTGGTCTGATCTCTTTGGAAGCGACCATTGAGTTCTTTTTCGCACACATAAACCATGTATTTGGGACTGAACCTGTGTTTAATTTATTTATAATCTTCAGGCTAAATTCAAGAGTAAATAACATGTATCTTTTGATTATGTTCTCTTACGATGTCTATGTTTTTTTCTTTTTCCAGGCACGACAAACAAATTCGATGTGCTCCTAGGAAGCCTAAGTGTGATGTACGGAAGCGAGGAAATGGTTGATAAGTAATGCCAGAGGGCTGTGGCTCTGCTATGGTCGATGTAAAAATCTTAGGTGAGATAAATTTACTTTTTTGAAGAAATAAACTAGAACTGGTGTTGGAAAATACGTGTTCATGAGCGTGGCGATGGTCTCATGGCATCTGGTAAAAATAGTGACTTGATAATCGTTCAATTTTCCATGAATAAATGATATGGGTCCAAATCTATACACGCAGAGATTATATGGATATACAGTTTGATTACATATCATCCAAATTGGAGTAAGTCTCCTGCCTCCTAGGTTAACGTTTCTTGTTTTGGTCATGTATGGAATTTGATTCTAAATTTCTTTGAGCCATGCTAGGTAATCAACTTAATGCACAGGCTAGAACAGCACATTTTATTTTCAAGTTATTCGTTTGAAAACAATTGTGGAATTGATAGATGTCGAGTCTTCTTCCATTCCCACAGTCAGTTTCTTAAGAGAGAGAAAAATATGAGAAATGAAATGTTTTGCTGTGATTTAGAAAGGCCAACTCGCCAAGCGGATGGTAGGTGGAAGCTGCAATCAACTCTAGCAAGCGAAATGCTAACGAGGTCCCCTCGGAGGTTTGGAATGTCAAATTAGGTCTGGCTGGTCTTCATGCCCTTCGGTCTCCACCTAGCTAGCTGAAATCTAATTCTTTCTTGTGCATGGTTAAGATCGAAAGCCAAGGTCTGCCAAGTTACACGGAGCGCCTTACCCTGTTTCTATTTTAACTGCTGCAATACCTTTTTGTTTTTATTATTAATGTAGATATTCGGATATCAACTTAAATTACCTTAATTAATTTTATAAGTTTTAAAATTAATAATTATATAAATTCTTAATGATTTAAAAAAAAAACTTAAACTCATAATTATTAAAAAATAATTCTAAAACTGACCAGTTAAATTACAATTAGTTACTGCTGCAATACCTTTACACATATGGGTGGGTGGAAAGTTATTGGATATTGATAAGAACAGCCCAATTCACTTGGTCAGCTACGATTGTCTAGAACATTCCGGTCAATCCAAGATGGGATCTCTCGATATATATTTTAACTATTACTCATCGAACATTTTAATTAAAAATACTCTGAAACAAAGTCATACAACAGAAATATCTCATATGGCATACTACCTTGCCATAGTTGGAGTTCCAGCTTATACGATCCCTCAAATATTATTTTCTAATAAATGAAATATATATATAGTTCAAGCCCATCTACTGTTAATCCATACTATCTCCTTCCCTGGACAAATCCTAGGTCCTGCATTGAAGCCGAAGAACTTGGACGATCTTTCATAGTTAAGCTCTCCTTTCTCATTGATCCATCCTTCCATTTGCGTATCCTGACATAACAAAAATATTTGGATTTACGCGGTGACCACTTGGAAGGATGTTAGCTCCAACTGGAGTCCTTCTCTGGAAAGGAACTGGTAGGTACTATAGCCTTAGGGTTACACACAAGGTAGCATGGAGATAAACCAGCTTATTCAACTCTTCTCTGCTACTTAATAGCCACTTTTGACCTTCGTTCACTGAGAAATTATTGTCAAGCTCTTCTCTGATTTTAATTTCAACATGCGGGTTCCTTGGAAGGAGCCATAGAACCAAGAGAGAGTGGCATTAGAGGTGTCATATGCTCTGCCAATATGAGAGCTGTCGTACTTCCTCACAATTTCATCAGTGTTTTTTGTAACCAATATTATATATCATTTTTGGTCAAGAAAGACCTAACGCATCGAAGGTCTCTTCTTCTTCCTTTGTTTTTGCTCCTGCAATCAGTTCTTCGTCCTTGTCAACGTGTTTTCTGTTACAATTTGACGTAAAGTGCCCCTGGCAACACTTTGTCTCTGCTCCCTTCCATTCTGTAGCCGCCTTAGTAACTTCTAACATCTCCCCGGAAAGACGTGCCAAGATAACATTGTTAACCTCGTTAAGTGGTCAATCCTATCATCTCGAGTTGATATTAATTTTAAAATTATAATTATAATTATTTTAATTTTTATATTAATTTAAATTAAAAATCAATTTGTTTTATAATCCTGATCTTATTCTTTAGATGAAATATAAATTAAATTTTAAAATTATAATAATGGTTTATAATCCTGAACTATAAATTAAATTTTAAAATTATTATAATAATAATTTTTATTTTTATTTTTATAATAATTAGATTATAATCAACTTGATCTGGGATTTAAATTTTTTTAGAATTCATCCTCAAGTCTAGTTTTTAAATAATTATAATAATAATTTTAATTTTAATTTTGATTAACTTGATTCGTGGCTAGGATTTTATCTTTAATTGATCTTTAAATTAAATTTTAAAATTATAATAATAATAATTTTTTATTTTTTATTAATTCAAATCAATCTAAATTAACCCTTGTAAATAGAATTACATAAGAATAAGCTTGTCTTTCCTCTTTCAGCTGAACAAAACTTCTCTATTAGAGGGGTTTTTCCAACGTGGTGGGGAATGTAAAATTTTTTGCTTTTAAATGCTTTTTAAAAGTGTATTTACCTTAAAAGAAATCATTAGTATTCTTTTGTTATTTTAATATATTTATAAAAAAATTATTCTGATATAATTTTAAAAAAATAATTTCACCAAAAAAATAAAAATACCACAATCAAATCACGGAGCAAAAAGGAAAAGCGGAGCTGTGATGTTAGAAGGCCAACCCTTACCTAGATTGACAAACGGTCATGGATGAATAGTTGTGGATTCTGATGACCAAAATCAAGCAAAATAATAAGATTTGGATTGCATAGCATTAACTACTAGCTACTGTTAAAAAATATATTTATTTTGTTTTATTTATTAAGAATATAATAGCATTTTTAGTTTAGTCTGTATATAATTTTTTATATTTAAATTAAAAAACACTTCAAAATATTATAATTAATAAAAAATTTAATTTTTCTTTTATATTCGTATTTATTTTCCATCAATTTAAATTGTTTTAGCAGCCACGTAGAATAGAAATAATCACGAGGAAAGTTGCCAGACTGTAATGAAAACAGAAGAGGAACGCATGTAAGTGTCATGTCATATCACAAAGGCTAAGGTTATAATGGGAAAACTAAAGGAAAAAAGAAATTAATAGCGTAGCTACCTTAACAACCACGACATTAACAAGGAGGGTTCCAACCTCCCAACTTTCACTTGTGGAAGTTTGTGGGATAGCTTTGGGATTTTATATATATACCAACCGTTTTGATTTTGCATTAGATTTTGATGGATTAGTGGATAAAAGAGGTAATTATTGTTGTGATGAAGAAGCAAGGTCTTCTTTTAACTTAAAAAAAAAACATGATGTTTTTTTTCCCCCGTCTGCCTGTATGGCGCAGGGCATGTGTCTCAATCCATGTTCTTGACTAGACAAGCTGAATTCGCTGCAGCATCGCGCCACCCCTTCCTCCATTAACTTCGAAACCAAGCGATCTTGTAATCGAATGCCATCTCTAACCGCAACGGCACCTGCTTGCTATCTTAAGTTAGCTGTTTAAATCACCTTTTGGTTACACTGTAACCAAACTCAAAATCATGAAAATAAAAACACAAAATTTGATTTTATGGTTATCAGATTATGTTGCAACTTACGAATTAGCCCTTTAGTTTGCCACCTTTCTTGCTTGATGGGTGGACCCACCCTAAAAATCAGAGAGGCTACTGAGGGTGGTCCATCGGGTAGTGTTTAGAATATTTTGTTTAATAAAATCAAGAGACAGAGAAACTCAAAATAAAAATAAAATAAAATAATCAAACAGAAGATAAAGATATAATTATGTTCGACAAGTATACTGGTAAAGGAGCAACCGAAGGGAGCTTAATTTAAGTTGAAATAACTAAAACACCCTTGAGAAATTACAAGGAGAGCCCTCCTTTTCCGATGGCAAAATGGTAAAAATCCAGGAAAATTCTGTTAGAAAGAAAGGAATGTTTGTTGGATGGGTAACGATTTTAAGAAAGAAATTTGCATCCTCTCTTTCCCTCCAATCTTCTCTCTATATAAAATAAAACCCTCCTTTCTATCGCTCTTCATCCGGGTGCTTCTCTCCTCCCTTCTCTCCCCCGTTCAGATTCGCATTTCTTTTTATTAATTTTCTGATCATTGTTTAAGCATGTTTCGTTATTGATGATTTTCGTTTCTTGAATAACAAGTTTCTGTGATTCTTTCTTCTTCTTCTATGATTATTAATAGTATCATGTTCTTTTGTTTTGTGGATTTCGGTCATGATAGTATCGCAGAAATTTCCACCTGCCCTGTTTTTCGTTGATGCTTGATTAAGTTCTATTGGTGAAGAATTATAGTAGGAAATAATAGAAATAGTAGTAGTAATTTCAATTGAGTATAATTTTTAAAAATTTCTTCGTGTTTAATTTCTAATTAAAACTGGGAATATTTCTCAACGAGAGTTTTATATTTATATAGAGAGAGGCAATTCATTCAGAAAGGAAACACAAAAAGCCACCTCCTCCACTTTAAACAGCTAAATCGCCACCACCACCGCAACAAAGTTCCGGGACTACCGTCTAAACGACGTCGCTTACAACACCGATATCTTCCCCCTCTCAAGCCTCCCACTCCATAGACAGCTCTCGCTTCATAATGCGACACCAGGACCTAATAAACCGAAGCGCACTCTGCCTCGCGCGCCTCCGTGAAGTAACCGTCGAAATGGAGTGTCTCCGCCAGGACAACGCCGATCTTCGATCTATCAATCGCGAGCTCAACAATCAACTCAGCGTCCTTATCCAAGCCTCACTCCATAAACACTACAACGACTCTGCAAGGACGCCGTTTGACATTGATATTGGTTTCCACAATTTGTGCAACATCAGCAGCGGAGGAGGTGGAGGTCATGACATGTGCGAAGAGGATGAAAGTCCGACGAGCGTCATGGAGGCAGGGGGCGATGAACGGGAGAGGATTTCGCTGCCTAAGAGTATTTCAGTGAGGTCTAATAGCTACTCGAAGAGGAACCAGGAGCAGGCGGCTAGTGCTAGCGTGACTAGGGCCATCACTCGGCCGAGAACACCAACTCCACTCAACACCGCGGTAATTACTAATTATTCCTTATTAGATCTGTCTAGTCGACTATGATTAATATCGTCTAGCGATTGTTCGCTGCATTCTTTTTGCTCTTTTTTTTTTTCAAATAGTTTTCTTTAATTAATTTGCTTCTTTGCAATTAACTTTTTTTTCGGAAATAATTTATAGATTTATTAGGACACGTGTCATCTGGTGAGATGAAAATGGGAGAGTGAATCCATTGATGTAATTTAGCATAATGATATCAAGAACATTTGAGTGTCAAAATCTCGATGAGTTGATGTGGCTAATTGGATGTTGGGCTTCAATGCTAGTACTTATTTTGTTTCTATAAATCTTGAGTTGGGCTTGAAATGAAATGGAAATAGCCTGGTGGGAGATATAGATCATCATTCGTGAAAAGGCTTATGAAATCCATTGTGAGATGGGTAAAGGTGTGGGAGCTAGCGTAGAGATTAAGTGCAATTGGTTGGCTCCCGTGTGATGAACCCACCATAACACAATAATCCACCCCTTTTTTGGCACGCAAGAGAAGGAAATGGTTAGTAGTTAGTACATTTCAGAGGCGAGGAGCCATTTCATACTGTGGATGGTTGAAAAAGAAATGGAGGTAGAGATTGCTTTCAGATTTCAACCAAATGCTTACGGGTATTTGAAAGTGTATTTTTAATAGGAGTGGCACGGTATGTGACTGCTCGGGCTCCACATATTTGAAAGAAGACCTCATTAGTTATCATAGCGCAGTCTTGGTGATGAGATTGAGAGTATGCTCAAAAGTTTATGGCTTGGAATCTGATAAATCATAATTTGTCATCATAAGAGTCCATTGCTTTCATATTAGCAAGCGTGCATTTAAATGGAATTCTCTGTAATTCTGTGTTGTCATTAACAACTTGCACGATCTTTTAACTCAAGTTGCATGATGATGATATTACAACAGAAAGTTTATGTGCGTAGAGACAAGAAACAGGAGGAGCCACTTGAGCTGGAAGTGTATAACCAAGGCATGTTCAAAACAGAGTTGTGCAACAAGTGGCAGGAGACAGGGGCTTGCCTATACGGCAACCATTGCCAGTTTGCTCATGGAATTGAGGAGCTCCGCCCAGTCATCCGTCACCCTCGCTACAAGACTGAGGTCTGCAAAATGGTCCTTGCTGGTGGTATCTGTCCTTATGGCCATCGCTGTCACTTCCGCCATGCCCTCACTGAGCAGGACAGGTTCCTTAGCCACATCAAGCCCAGGGAAATCAAGCCTGACAGGTAAAATAATGATGTTGATGAGAGAAGTATTATTGGGTTAAATGTAGAGAGACGTTTGTAATCTTGTTAAGAGAGTGGCAAATAACAATAATACTTTTAATCTGGTAAAGTTTAAATATATATCAGTTCAAACTGGACATGTGTAAGCTAAAAATAATTACTAGTAGATATGATGAGGTAGAAAAACAGTTGCGAGTGATTTTGTGCCCAGAAGGTAATGCAATAATGTTAATGCAATAATACTAGTAGACAGGAAGGGGCTGAAAGAGAATATTTCTCTTATTCTTTTCTTTTTTATTGTTAATGCAATAATGCTCTTATTATTATATACGTTCCACTTTGATTTCAAACTAAGCAACTAGTTTTAATGATGCTTTTTGATTCTTGGAAAAGGAAGTAATTTCTGATTGGAGTAATCGTTCACAATTACTGCTTTCATTCTCTCATTTCCTCGTCATCATTTAGCCGTGGTAAATCATAAATGTAATATATGTTCTTCGTGTGACTTTGCTTATGATGAACTTTGGTTTGGCTCCTTAGTCTTTTTTCACATTTTCAGATGAGAACAGAATTCCAAGGATTGCAAACTGAAATTAAAATTTGAGTTTTGGTATGGGAATGCTATGATTCTATTAATTTACAGTGTGATGCAACTTCTTGATTAAGGTTGGTTTGGGTTTATATTATTACCGGTAATGCTCAAAAAGTTTGAACCAAATCATACACAATGAAAGGCTCAAATATCAGACATTGGATCACACTGGAGTAGTTCATGAGTATTTATACACACGCGAAGATAGATACATACATACATAACTTACTGTTCCCCCTTAGGTCATCTTCTTTTGATACTAGCCCAGACAAACCAGATATAATAATTCTAATATTTGGATTTACATGGTGACCGCCAGGGAGGATATCAGGTTAACGTTTGACAAGGGTCCTATGCTGGAAGGGGATTGGCGAGTATAACCTTGGCACTTAACACAAAGCAGCATCGAGATAAACCAGCTCACTGGAAGGGGATTGGCGAGTATAACCTTGGCACTTCACACAAAGCAGCATCGAGATAAACCAGCTCACTGGAAAATTATTGACAAGCTCTTCCCTGATTTTAATTCCAACTTGCGGGTTCTTTGAAAGAAGCAAGAAGAACCAAGAGAGAGTTACACAGGTTGTCTCACATGCTGCAAACTTGAAACCAATAATACTGTCTCTCACAACTTCATCAGAGTGTTTTGTTTCAAAAACTTCATGTTCAGTCAGGAAAAACATCGTAATGAGTCAAGCTACTCTCTTCATCTTTCTTTGTCGTGGCTCTTGTATTCGGTTCTTCTCTCTTGGCCAACATATATATATTTTGCTACAATTCGATGTATGTACAGTTTACTTGGAAAGTCCTAGTTTCTTCTCATTCCCAATCCCTAACCATCGTTGCAACTTCCATAATCTTCCTGGCAATATGTGCCTTGAGAGCATTGCTTCTCCAGCATCACCTATGCCCCCTACGAATGGATTTTCTAGAAAATTAACGGAGAGTATTGCTAGGGTTATATCCAGTAGCTATTGTACAAGCAGCATCATATATATGTCTCTTAAATGAATCTTGCAAATCGACCACCAAACTTTGTCCAGCTGTTCAAGGAATGGTATGAGGCCTTTATTTACATTATCAAGCAGGACCTTCATGTAGAATTTGCGAAACCGCAGGTGCATGGGTGATTCTTCCATGGCAAGTCCATTCCTTAAAATCTATGTTGAAAAGTATGTTTCCCAGAATATCGAACTGCTTGGACTCGGTCGGATCGTTTGGGATAATTCCAAAAGTTTGTTGCTGTTGTCGTGCACATTTGCAGGATCGATCATTTGTCACCAACATATCCATGTTGGCAAACCAGATACCTTTGAGTAACAAGGTAACTTTGCTTCTCTCAAGAATTTCAGCAACTTTTTTGTGCAACTGGTGGAGGTTGAGAAGTAATGTCGGTGACATGCAAGGGAAAGGCCAGTTTATTGGGAGACCATTGTTTCTTCTATGCAAAGCAAACGAGGAAGATAAATCAAACAAAAAAAATTGCCAATATTGATTCAGAATAGGTAATTGCCATCTTTTTTTGAGCCAGATGATGCACGCTTCTATTCTAGGGAAAGCTTAAACTTGAGAAATATATATACTGCTAACAGTTAAAGGCGGTCATGAAGTGTTGCAAAACATTAAATTTTTTCTAAAATAAATTACGAGTGTTGACCTTATAGCATTGGAGGAATATTTCGTGCTTGATTGATGTTAGGTTTGGTAAAATTAAATTAAATTTTATTAATATAAAAGAATTATAAATTCAGGAATGAAATTGAAGATTAAACAAATATTTAGTTCATTTTGTTTGTTAACATAATTAAATGATTTGCATAGTCAACAAAAAAAAAATCTAACTAACTTTTTTAAATTCTTGGATTTTTTAAAATATTTTTTACATCAAAAAAATATTTAGCACAGCGCACACCATTCTAGTAACATTAAATTGATCTCAACAACCTCAGATAATAAGGAATAATATTTAATTTATTACCCATATATAACTGAAATATAAGATAATTAAATCATTGGTCCACTTAAGATGAAACCTTAACCCTGACTAGACTGTTAGCATCAAACCCACAGGGCATCCAAACTTCACGCATAAAGGAGTTAAAAGGGCTAATTCCCACGTTAGCTTGCAATCTTCCTTCTTCTGCATGGTAGATCAAAAAGGCCAAAGCCCACCTATTTAAATTATGTTATTAATCTATGTTTTCTCACGGAGTTAGAAAAAATAAAAATAAAACAGGTTCCCCTTTGCCTTAACCTAGGGGAAAAGACAAAAGGAAAGTGGAAGGAAGCGGACGTTTTGATATATTATACATGTTGTTAAAGTCACATGGCCAGCTCCACCTACCTGGAAATTAATGGGTGGATATGATTAATGGGTGGATAGGCTCCTCTCTTATCCCTGGTCAATAACTAGCCCATTTAACACCCCCATCCCCCACGAGAGAAAGAGATGGAATCAGATGGATGGATCAGAGAAGAGGGAAAGAGATGGAGGTCGAGGAAGTTTCTGGACATGGGTTGGTTCGCAAGAAAATAAGATTTTTGAACTCTCTGGTATTGTATTGCTCATGGAAAAACAGTTTTCTTGCCGACCCCACCCATGCCAATGATTTCCTCAGCTTCCTCCCTCTCCCTGTTTCCTTCTCTCAGTTGTGTACTAAACTCTGCAGGTCTGTTCTTCTTTTCTATTCTATCTGGTATGTCTTAATATAGGGGTTGGTTCTTTTGTTTCAGTATTCTTTTTCCCTCTCCGATCTCTCTTTCTTTTTTTCTTCTTCATTTAGATGAAGAATATAATATATAGCTAGCTAAAGTGGGACTTAAGATGACTTAAACAAATAATACTTCTCGATCGGTGGGAATTTGAAGGTGATTTTTGTAAGTACTCCCTTGCTATAGATTTGCGGGTGAAGATAGGAGAGGTCAGATGATAGTGCATGCCTTGATTTTGAGGTTGGGGACTAGGGCATGCTTCAGCTCGAACAGGAAACAGGTGATTGCGGGGAGTAAATGGAGATTCAAGTATGCTTTTGTCTTTATGTTGAGTAGGTTATAATTACAGACGAAAAGTAATTTTTTTGCCCCTAAGAATTTGAATGAGAGTGGAAAGTGAATCTCCATAACTACAGCCCCAGACTGCATGGGGACAAGGCAACATTGGGAAACCATAAACTTCAATACAAATGGACAAGATTTCTGTTATTTTGAATCCAGTGGTTCGAAGAAGTGTATTTGGATCCATGTTAATCCTTCATTCCATTTTTGTTATGATGTGATTTTTTTATTAAAGTATTTTGTATTTAAAAATATATTAAAATAATATTTTTTTATTTTTTATACGATATCATGATTTTAAAATACTAAAAATATATTAATTTAAAACAAAAAATTTAAATTTTTAAAATATATTTTTAAAATTCAAAAACAAATAGGCTACTTAATAAAACTTCAATGAAAATACAAGCAAAACTTGAGAGAACGATGGCTATTTTAAAATCACAGAGGTTAATATCAAAAAAATGGAAATTATATTGACCTCCACGCGCCATCAAACCATTTGTTCGGTAATTGAAAACTTAGGAGTAATTGAATCATGTATTTAAGATATATATATAAGATCGGGTGATATTGTAATCTCTGTCTACTCCTATCTTTTGAAATTTCCTTATGTTTCCCGGTAAACTTCCATAAGTTTCATTGTCCACTCTCATTGAAAGGCCATCACCCTTCTCTTATGTAAACGGGGGGGAAAATGGCTTCTCTTTCCCAGATTTAACTGTGAATTAAATTTATATTTGAGCGATGAAATCAGAATTAAATTTACATCTTCCTTTGAGATTTAAGTGGTAGATTATTATAATAAGATGGGAACAAATGAAAGTTTCCAGGCCAAAATAATGAGCAACCAAATTGCAAGGGGGGGCGAGGAATTGAAAATTTGATAAAATAAATTTGAAATTTGGCAGAACCATAGAATTTAAATGGCTAGAGGTTGAGAGGATCTCGGCAGGGCCAGTATGAGCTTACGACATGGCCGCAAATCAAGTTTTAGTTGAGCCAGAACATGTGCATCCACTGAATGTTTCTTTTTATTAATATGAATATCCAGATTATTTTATATTTATTTTAATTAATTTTATAAATTTTAAAATTAATGATTATATAAATTTTTAATAACTTTAAAATTTATAAAATTTAAATTAATAATTTTTAAAATACTAACTTAAAATATAATCAATTAAGTTATATCAGTCGAGTTTCAATGAATTTTAACTATTTATAAAGAATGCTTAGGTCCAGGACTTCTACAGATGCATGATCACAGTGATTGGCCAAATATGTCCTCGCTTTACTTCTCTCATTCTAAACACGACATTCAAGTTTCTTGAGATATTTTATAGAAGATCTTCATCTTTTTCTATTGAAAATGTTGTCTGGTCTTTTTTTTTAACTTTTTAAAAATATTCTTCCTTTTATTCTTGTTAATCTTATAACAAACTATTTTCTTGTGTGATTTATGTGCACAAAAGTTATTATATGACCATTTCTGTACTTTAACTATTATTATCATTAATTTTCTTACAAAAAAATTATTATTATTAACAAACATAATAGAAAAATATTTTTGTACGTTATTTCAAATTTTAGATATAAATACGGTACACGGATTAGTTTTTATGTTCTTACTTGAAACTAAAATATTTTTTATTGAGTGGGGAGAGTATATATGTATATTTAAAAAGATGTGTGAAAAAAATGTATAGAAACATGCAAAAGAAATACATTATAAGCACGAATAAAATATTTGATTTCATTCATCTCCTGCCATTAAGCACAAATATAAATAAAACACTCTACCAGGCATGATTAAATAAGTCTCACTTCCAGCACCTCATCTCCTATTACATAAGTATTGAATTGATTTTTATTCTTTGAAAACCCTTATTTATTTAGCATGCAATATATATTTTAATTAGTCCTTTTCTCATCTAAATGCATTATCCATCAATTATATCCTGAGCTTCTTGTTTCCCCCCTATAAATGCACTTATCATCAACTCATTTTCTTAGAAATATTATTCTAACTCCTAACTTATTTTCAGCATTTTCATTTTACTATATATCCATTAATTTATAATATTTATTTAGTATGGAACTTAATAAAAAAAATTATATTATATGTAAAAATATATAAGTATTTGTGGTTAAGAATAATTTTTTGCTTAAATAAAGAATGTGTTACATGATCCAGTCAAACTTTTTACTTAATAAAAAATTAAAAATTTTAACTTCTAATTTATTAATTATCACTTATACTATATTTTTTCTCCAACAGATATTTTGAGTTATTTTATCAAATATTTTTTTTATAAATATTTTAACTTTTTTTTATCGTAAATCATTTACGAGAAACACGTTTTGAATTAAAAGCAAAAGCAAAAAAATCATAAACATTACTGTTGCTATTAATGGTTGTGATTATCATATCAGGTCCCCCACCCTCAAGCAAGAAAACAAACATATTCGACATTTTGTCAGAGTTTCTTGAGCGAAAACTTAATATAAAAAGTCTTGCATAACAGTCCAAAAACCTTATTATTGAGTGACATAAAATTATTATTGGAGCTTAACTTATTATCGACTTGCGCCTTGAAGCTTATCCATCTCTGTGCCTTTCGGAGGAATTCCATGGTAATTAGCTTTCATGCTCACTTAGGTCAACGAAGGAAATATGCTGCTAGCTTTTTGACTTGTTTGCCCGGACGAGTGATCATGAGTCATCTTCCACCTTGAAAGCCATTTTTTCTTCCTCCATTTAACACGA